AAAAAAAAAAAAAAAAACAAATATAATATTTTACAAATTTTATATACAAACAATTTTAAATTATATAAATTACTATTATTACTCGTAGATAGTATTTTAATAAGTTTTGTTTTTGGTAATCAAACCTTTGCAGGCAGAATGATAAAGAAGCAAAAATAACACTAACTTAACGGAAACTTCTTAATTGTTAGTTAAAAGTTGTTTAAAAGCCACTACACTACGGGTCTGTTTAGCTTAGCATTTGATAAAAAATTAATCACTTTTACTTAAGCAAAAACATCAAAGACGCACAATTTGTTTAATTCTCTTATTTCTGATTCATTTTTAAATACCCTGCACAAATCTACGAGTGCAACAATCAAACATTATATTTGTATTAATCCAACACAAATATATAATTTTTACAAACAATTATGAACAACAATAAACCGTTTTTAAATTATAATGAACACAAATGTACATGTTATAAATATAAAAATAAATAAAAGAACGAATATACTTATAACATTCTATAATTAATTAGATTGAGTAACTAATTGGTTGACTAAATAAATTATTTTTAAGCCGAATGTTCATATAGGGGCTTTTAGTTATTTTCTTTTGTAGTCAATTCTATAGAATTTGAAGTTGTTCAGATTTTAATTTCAAATAACTAATATAACTATGTAAAATAATGGAATAATATAAATTTTTCAATTTTTTTATTAAATATACTAAATGTTCTATTTTTATATGCTGTAAATGACTTAAATGAGAGTTTTTAAAATTATATAAAATGAGGATTTTTAGTAGTTACTGTTTTGATACAAATGAGTACAATTCTAATGTATTAGTAAAACAAATTGTTTTTTGAGGAGCAATGATTACTTATATTATTATACATGGACTATGAGTGCTCATAAACACTTGTGTAAAAAATATTTAAATGATGGGTTTTGTTAAACATTTGTTAGAGTTCGAAAAATAAGATTTAACATTGGTGTGTATACGCAATACTTAAAACCATTTTGAACGCACAATATTGGACATAATATAATGGATTTAAAACAATTGTATTAATAATAATAATAATAATATAACAAATATAACCACAATATACAACTAAATGTATTTTAATATAATAGTTATTTCAAATTTAGAATCGTCTTTTTTATTATGTAGGTACATATGGCTTATCGAGTATATGTACAATAATTAACAATTATTTACTATATTATATAGTAATAATTACAACTTTAGTAATAAACAAATGGTCGGCAAAGGTACTGGTGGACAATAGAACATTTAAAATTACGGTTGGCATCATATCGCGAGAAACGGAGACCGTTTTTATCGTTATCATTTGCAAGTATAATAAAAATAAATTAAAAGTGCAATAGACGCTAAACAGTAGTTATTAATTATTAAATTTTCTACATGTAGTACTATTAAAAAACAATTAAATTGGCAGTAGGAACATACCTAAAAATGAATTGAAGATTTGTTAGTACGTTCTTAAAGTAAAAAATTAGATTTAGGTACGTATTATTTTAAATTATTAATCTAAATTGTATATGAATTAATTACATAAAAAATAACCCTGGTAAAATATGTACACGGAAATTAAATTTCAACAATAACTTTAAATTGTATACTTATTGCACGTGGACCTATTCATGTATAACGTTATTCCTAAAGTATTCAGTAACAGCATTAAATTATTTTTCATAATATATCTGTTTTACCCGTATAATGGTTTTTGACGTTGGAGTGTTGCCTGAACTGGCAATGGGTTTTTTGAACTTCGAAACTCATCCAAAAACGTCCAATACTAAAAATATGGTTGATTAAAACGATTCGGTGTTCTAACTACTTATGTTAAGAGTAAAAGGATGTTAAATTAAAGCTGAAAAAAAATGTAAATGAAACTAAAATTATTATTATTCGTTTAACATGCTAATTATTGATTTTCGTATTACATTTATTAAACGTTGGCACAATTTTTTTATTGCCACTTAAAATAGTTACCTTAAGAAGAATAAATGAATAGTTATCATCTTTAAAAGCATAAATTAAATGTCTAAACTGTCGTTAAATTTTCTCACTGGCATAAATCTTAGCAAAAAACAAATATTTATATGAAATTCGTCCTAAAATATCGATCGCTTTTGTGACCGTTATGTTTACTGTAAAACAATAAAAATCGCGGGTCCGATTAGTAAGTATAACATCCATCGGATGAGTGTTTTAATAATTGCGCTATTTTTTTCCGAAAATAAATTTAATGACAAAAGTATTTTTCATTGAACGACATAACCATTAAAACTATGTACATTACATGAATACTATTTATTTGTACGGTGGAAGAGCTGGTTTTTAATATTGTCTTGTGATTAAAAATCGGGCGAGAAGGTAAAAAAAAAAAAAAAAACGGCATCTAGGGGGAAGTTAATATACGTCAATGGTTGTATTCAGGAAACTGGTTGTTGAGCAGAGTGGATAGTCCGTTGGCGGTGATGGCGGCAATACCAGTGATTGCCGTGGTGGCAGCGCAGGTGGTGTCTTTGTTGCAGTTGGCTGTGTCGTTTCTTCGCTGACGTCTGGCGGACGACGGGCTGCAATGCGTCCGTTGGCTGCTCCTAGCGCTGTTGCACGTCCTCATCGCTGCCTTTGCTACTGTTGCCGACTGCTGGACGCCATCATCCGCGGCCACCGGCATGTCCAGGCTAGCCGATCGCGCTATTGGTCGATGAGCTTCACAAACAAATTCAAAAAAAGGCATTACCGTTAATATCATTGTTATTGGCGGTCCAAAGCGATCCGAATAGCAATTTACCATCTATTTTTATTCTACAATAACAGTACACCCAATAGCAATAGTAAAATAAAAACGGTAAAACTTGTTCGGCCCATAACTTTAAATTTCAAGTGGTTTTTGTACGTGCAAGTTTGTTTAAGTACAACTTAACGTATATCCAATAAAATAATAATCATAAAAAATAGGGCCGTTCTATAAGAATCAAAGTTTGAGTTCAAACAATGTATTGTGCCGTTATTCGACGCGATACATTTGAAAAACTGCTCTTTGTTTAATATAAACTTGGATTTCACGTTGTGTGTTTATAAAAGTTTAAGCGAAATAATTATAGTAATAGTGTGAGTCACGAAATTTTATATGGTTGAAGGTTGTATTTTTTTTTAAGTATATTACCCCAAACCGAGATTATTTCAATCTAATATTATTACTATAAAATTGGTTGTAATACTTTTTCTAAACTATACGGCATTCAACGGTTAATGAAGCCATCTAATCATATTCAACACAATTTTCTTAATAACAAATGACCTATCGTCGTTTGGTTCAAGTTTATCAAGGGGAAATATCCACTATTACGTTTGCACTTGTTCTTAATCAAAAGTCGTGTCTTGGTAAAAAAAAAGGGTTTACTACGTTATGTTTGCGACAACTAATTAGTAAAAATAGCGACGGGTTTTGGTGCATTTGGTGCGTACCTTTCACTGTCGGGGGCATTACACACGTTCCGACAGGGTGGGTGGTCGGCCGTTTCATAGATGCTTTCCTCACCTGTTGTCGCGTGAACGGTGGCCGCAGTGGCCATTCGAGCGGCTGACTGGAGGTAAGGCGATGCTGAACCACTGGTCGCCCTACTGGCCGGTCGATACCAGCCTCTCACAAATCTGGGTTCTTCGCATCTATATATATATATATATAAAAAATGTGATAAAAAATGTCATCCAATATTCGATATAATAAGCAAATAATTATCCGATGCAACTCAAATGCACGAATAGACATTTTTCAGAGCAAGCTAATCAACTATATAATTAGCTTTTTTACCTCACGAAAAAAGTAATCGAGATTAGACGGATTTAGGTAACAAAACATCTTTATTTCATTTTCGATATTATGGTCGTGTACCGATCAAGAAATGTCTTCCAGAAGCGTTAATAATACGTAGTTAACAGTTGGAGTGAATTGACTTTTTTAAAACGTAAACGAAAATCAAAATACGGTAATATATTGTACGGATTCATTAAAAAGTTTTAGTATTAATAATTTGTGTATAAATTCAGATTTTAGTTCGACATTAAGGAACGGCTATAGATTTTTGACGATTTACTCAGATGAGTAATTGTAATAGGTCCTATCATGCCATTAGTTGGCGGCCCGCCAGCGGTTGACAAGTTTGACGGGTGAATCGACAGAGTTAAGAAGTTGGGGCGTGGGCGATGTTCGTCTGAGCGTCTTACTTGTAGTGTGTAACTATTTGCCAACCAAAGTTTCTGCAAACAAAGAGACATACAAGAGTTCTCAACACACTCCGGGCATTCGTACCAGTAGTTTATGTGTTGTCGTGATAATAGTTGCACTATAATTAATAATGCAATATGTCGAGAACAATAAACCTAATAAATTTACCCGTTATGCGAATCGTGCCTGAAATGCCTGTCTACTTCTGGTTCGGACATCCGATTGTCATCTGACCCGGAAGGACTGTGTCTAACAGTGTGCTCTTGAATCTGTTTGAAGAGATCTTCGAGATTTCGAATACGAATCGTTGACGACGTCATTTCTTTATTGGTGTCATCGTCGTCTTCCGGTCCTGCATTTTCGTCAATAATTTACAAATTTATAAAATACAACGAGCAATGAATTGTACAAAATGTACGTTGCGTAAAAAATATTATTACCGATTTCGGATCGTCTGCTTGATCTCCTGTAGGGGTGTCGATGACAAGCGGGTGCTCCAGATTCGGATAGCACTGTGTGACTCTGGGGGAGACCGTGTCCTGAAAAATACAGTTGACTTTTTAATAATTCCATAACGATTTGACAATTCCAAGTGCACTCACTGTCTTCGCCTAATCTTTCCTGGCTGGCAGCTATTCGATTATAGGCAGATTCGGCCGTTTCGGTTAGCGTGCGCCACAATAAATCTTCACTGCTTGATCTTGCACCTGACCTGTGTGCAGCAGTTCGGAGTTTTTCTAAAAGGTCACCGTGGTATCCATCTAAGGATTTTATCTTTCGTTCCATGTCGGAAATGCTTACAGAGCCAGGAGGTATACCACAGCTACTTCCACGACCATCCATATGAAGAGCATCTTAAATAGATTAAAACATAACCATTAAAAGATTTATAAAGTAGTTCTATGAAAGTAACAAATGGAAAATGATAAATATTTTACCTTGAACGTTGTCATCTTCATCATTGGAACATAAACCTAATCTAGATAAATTATGAGATTTGTGTTCCCTAAACAAAATTAATTATCAAATCATCATGTGTCATTTTATTATTATTTTTGAGTTAATAAAGCATGATTAGTAATTATCGAAAACTAGCAATGCACTATAACTTTATCAGTCGCTAAATAAAAATTCAGGCAAGTTAAATTATTTCCGAATAAATCTTAATATTTTAAATATAATTTTCAAAATCTTTTAAAATTTCAAATACAAAAACATATTATGTTGCCTAATTTTGCTAATTTATTTAGTAGAAATATTTCATCGCGAGTATTTTCACATTAAATCTTAGTTTAAGATTTTAAAATTATTCAACTATTTACACACGTTAAGTCTGTTACACACCAAAGTAATTCAGTGACTTGAAAACATTGTTATATAATTCACTACTTACATTGAAATGCCGGAAGTGCTCGGCGACAAATGATTATTAGAATGAAATAGCATTTTGTGAGATCCTGTTTCTGAACGACTGAAATTAAATGAAAAAATTAATTTTAAGTAGAAAAAAAACATTCTCTAATTAAAAAGAGTCAGTTCGTTTATTTCAATTTTGAAGATTTTTTAATTATAAAATTTATATTAAATTCTAATTTATTAATAATATGAATAGTAGCTAAAAATATTATCAAAGTAAAACTCAGAATTATTATAAAGGTGTTTCATCAGGTATCTTTAATAACTTTTAATCCAGTAAATATTTTCTTATTTTTTTTCTAAAATTTTTATAGTTTTCAAAGCATATTTTTTATTTTTTTTAATTTTTAATATAGGTGTGGTAACCTTGTTTATTAGCCTAAATATTTACAGATTATATACACATTTTTACAAAATAATCTAAGGCTTACAATACATTAAAAAAAAAAAAGGGAAAAAACGTGTATATTTATGATTCACAATAATTTAAGCTGGTTGGTTTGTTTTAAATATGAAATTACATTGTTTTTATTATTATTTTCTTCAAAAAATTGCATTCTAATTGAAAAATCGAATTTGTTTTAGTTCGGTTTTGGTATAAGAATGATTATTGCTTTGTGCCAATCATTTGGAAAATTATGTTTTTAATATTTGAATTATGTTAATATATGTAATAAATATATTAAAGCTAATTTTTGGTAGATCATAGAGGAATATATAAGGTATATTGTCAGATACAATAGTTTTACTTTATTTTGTTTGATAATTCTTTTTGGAGTTCTATATATTTATTAAAAGGGCTATTCAAACATTTATTTGGATAGTTATTATTTGACCATTAATGGTGACAGATGAGTGTTTTGATAAAATTTTGTCAACAATTGTTTTATTTGATAAATATTTACAGAATCTGTTATTGGATAAGGGCGAGGTTAAAATGATGTTTTTAGATCCAAACAATTTACTAATAGATTAAACATATTCAGTTTGGGGTATTTCTTTGATTATATTTTATATTATGACTTGATCATTTTTAGGAAATTTTTTATTAGCTGTAGTTTTGGTAAAAGTTTAAAAAATCATTAAAAAAAATTGTTCACAAGTTTTAAAGATGTCAGAACCTGATGGGACATTCTGGATATCACATAATTATATGAGTTGTACATCCATTTTCATATTTTTCGGTTTTTATTGTCAAATAAAAATTATTTGAATGAAATGGATTTACTTATAAGGGGATTGGTTTCCATATTTCGTCATTCTATTCATGTTAACCATTGGCATTTCTTCGACTGACTCCTCGGAAGGTGCATCGAATCTGGACGGCTTAGATATAGGTGTTGTGCTGGTCGAAGGTTTCTGCTTGTCAGTTCCAGGTTTTTCACCACCTCTCCTGAATAATTGTTTTCAACAAATACTTATTAATAAATTTTTAAATTAATGTTTTCCACAATAGAGAAGGCAAAGACAAACTCTAAATACAATTTATAAAGTTGATATTTATCTGACGGCTAATTTATAAAGAAATATAAATAGAGAAAACATGCGTAACTTTCTACATCATACTAAAAACCACTAACTACTAATTAAGTACAACGAATAATATTAAAACTATTTTATGAAACAAGCAGTTTAAAATTAATATCGCGATTAATTTTTTAAGGCGTTGTGGACCAACTTATTTAAACTATGAGAATAATTTATTTGTAAAACAACCGAATTTTTTAACGATGCTAAACCTTATACTGATTAATTATGCTACCAATAAAGAGTTTTAGTTAATTTAATAGACTAAGAATTATTATTTTAAGATTTACTATTTTTTTTTTTTTTTAATAATTTTCTAAAGTTATCTAAAAACATTTTCTACTTTTACTTGAAAATCATTACATTGATATTATTGAATTAAACTTTTAAGTAGTTATAATCACAAGCGTAGAAAATATTGCAATAGCGTATGTTTAATAATTTGCCATTTGTGTCTAGCGAAATTAAATGCAAAAATTAGATTTGATTGAACACATTAACTAACTCATCGATTCAGGCTTCATTATTTATAATTTGACGATTTAGTATAAAAGCTCACGCATAAAAAAGAAAACTACTACTTAAACAAGATTGTAAAGTTAACATTTTTATTTGAAACGAGGATAAAGTAAGTTGGTTACATGTAAAATGGAACCTCGCCTGAACCGTCTATATTGAGAAACGACATTAAAACATGCTTATGGTATGAGATTTTGAAAGTGTTCAACTCAATGTTTTATTAAATAATGTACGGCCTGCGCATTATGGTTTGTTTGGAAAAAGTACTATTATAAATATGTTTAATTGAAAAATATCATTAATTAGTTCTACGAGTTAAAATATTTCAAGATAATCGATTTGTTCGTGCTTCTATTACAATTGACCGGCTGTTAATGCGGTTTTCTATTGTCGTGACATCTAATACATAATGTGATCTTTTGACTAACCTGAAGCAAAAACACGGATTCATTTTGTACACAACCACGTGGCGATAGCACAAAGCGGAACACGTGAAAATCATAAACACCACTCCGACCGCGGTCATGAGTATCATTACCAAGACACCCGTGTTGGTGCTGTGAGCATTTACTAATGAACGGCAATGTAGCGTTCCGTACAGGCGAGGTGAAGATGAATTTCCACCATGCACAAAATGAAAAACACATAAAAATAAACTTAAGCGTCGCATGATTGGTTATTTTTGTTCATTTCCCTACGCGGACCACCCCTTCTACGTTATTTGCCCTGACACTGTTTTTTACGCTCGTGAGGAGCGGCAATTGTCTAACAAAGAGCGCGTTTGGTCGATCACAAAAAATCGGCTTATCGTTTTAAGGCGCATCGTAATGTCGGTGAAATTATGTAAGTATCATCACGGTGCGTGCTCGAAACAAACAAAATAAACAAATCAAACACCAAATGTTCACAACTCAAACTCAAAACAAAATTAAATTAACTGTGAAACAAATAATAATAAACAAATAAAAATACACGAAACCCATATTGTTCACACTTGATGTTTCCCTTTCGAAACAATATCGCTCTACCTGTAGCATATGGCTAGACAAGCGAAACTTATGAACACGAACTTTACTGCGAACGATAATATCACGACCATTCCTAATGTGCTGATATGTTCCGATTGGGCTTCTGGAAATTATTCATTTGAATAGTTTTTATGGTTAACAAGTTTGCAACAAGAATTAAAAAAAAAAAAAAAAAAACACGTGTTTAAATAAACTATTTAAGTATAAGCCAAAAATAGCCAGAGAAAAACATAAAGCGTAGGTTTAAAATATTCATAGAAATCATAACAACTTAAAAGTTAGGTACAGTAAAGTCGTCCAAGTTGTGTGTGATGGGCGTTTTAGCACTTTGTTCTGTTAAAAAACTGTCCAGGACACCTCTTGATGTACAACTTGCGAAACGTATATTGTTTGCCCGTACAATTATTCCGTTAAAGAAAATCACGTGTAGACATCAACTCGTTCGGTTTACTAATTTATTCGCCTGGAAGATTTATGTACTTTAATTTTCTTTTTGGAGTCCAAACGAGAGCGGCGTCGTTTCCGGATCTGTTTTGAACGAGTTTATGTACGGGATCCGGTAGTGTTCTTTGCGGCGCTTTAGACCGGAAACCGACGTCCGGATAAAGTTTGTTTTACATTTGTTTATGGCTCAAAGTCCACGGGTTGTTGTCGACTGTGAAGTGTGAAGGTGGACTGATTCGCGCGGAATCGAATGCGGATATTAATAGACGGTCAAAAGACCTTCTTGTGTAAATAACGAGAAAGGATTTAAAAATGTATTTTAATCGCGAATGCAGTAACAGTACAAATGAATAGGACAAACACGATCAATAGTTTGAACGTATGTAGAAAAGTGTATATAATGTATGCTGACTCTAAAGACTATATTTGATGAAAATTACATTAAAGATATCCAGCTGGCGAAAGGTAGTGAATCTTTTTTTGTAGGGGGGCTTTGTTTGAGGATTTTAATTTAATTGTATAGCTGACGAAATTGTTTTAAACTGTTGTTTTTGCCAATGTATTTTACCTCTCCATTACACAGTCAGCGAGTACTTCCATAGATAATCCGGTAAGACGTTAAATCCGCAAACAAAAATGTTTTTCAAACTCTCTTTCTAATTTTTAATCAAATTTTTCAACCCCGCCTAAGTAAAGCGCGTAGGCTTTCCATGGAAAACGCTTTGCCGGGCATTATTGATTTTTATTTAATTCACGCTGTTTACATACACTTAGCTATATACTGATATATTTTTATATGTTAATTTTATGTAGTTCAGTAAATTTTGTCTGCTGACAAACAGACATGTAAGTTCGCCACTCTAACAATGTTCTGTATGAACGTTTAAGGTATGAGAACATTCAAGAAAAGGTAGGCAGGAGGTCGTTAATCAAGAACAAATTAATTCGCAGTGTAAGTAAACTAATTTGTTATATTGGACGGCTGAAATTCCAGGGTTCGAGGACACAACTTGGCGTCAGTACAAAGTTGGGCGTAAAGCCAAGGGCTTTTCCCTTTCCACGAAAACCGTTTGGCAAACTCGACCAAATCCTTACTATTAAAAATAATGAGGTCTGTTTTGCACCATTTTAGTGGTGTATATATATCTCCTTGGAAGTATGTAAAATATGTATAAGAGCGAGAACAAATAGGTGGACGCGTTTGGAAATTTAACTGCACGTTTATTAAAACCGCTAGATAAAAAATGTTTGTGCTAATTGTAATCAGAAATCGTATAAAATTTGGTCGAACGACATGACATTTGAAAATTTCAAGTACCCTCTTTGTTGGCTGGTGGTCATCGTTGAAAACCCTATAATATAGTTATTATTTATCCTCTGTCGTTATGATACATACAATAGGTAATAACTATTCGTAGATAAAGAAGAGGAAATTTCAATGGAAAACATCCGGAAAATTGTAAACCCAAAAGCAATAAAACCAGGGAAACGTATATTATAGTACTTAATGTACATAATTGAGAGCTGGTTAGGTATTACGTATCGGTGGACGCGCTCTGTTCTTAAGTTCTTCGCTATAAATAGTTGAAACATTTCGTTATGTATTTTGTATAAGTCGTATATAAATTTATATAACCACTACTATTGTTCAAAATATATAGTATTTCTTTATTCTAAATTTTGATGCGTGGTAAACAAGGTTGATCGAAAATGTTTCAATGTACGGTTGAGTACTTTTGAATGGTATAAGTGTAAAAATCTAAGGTTTTCAAAGTATAAGAAAAAAGGGAGATGAAAGGAACATTATAAGAACGAGCCAGAAGTATTCTTGTCGAAAAAAAAACCAATAAAATGCCTAACGTTTTTAAAGTACTGAAATTTGTTTTTAAATATGTTATTTAGGTAAATAAATATCAAATATTTAGTAATTTAAACAAATTATGAACTGAACAGTTCGATTTTTACGGTTTCAAAAATGATAAGCTATTTTAGGTTATTAACGAAATAATAATTGTTCAAAGAAAAAAAATCTTTAGATATACCGTTAAGTTTGCGTAAAGTGTTAGTAAAGGATAGAAATAACATGTACAACGAATAAAATGGCGGTTACTAAAAATTGTTAGAAATTTTCAATGTGGTTTTAGACTTCTAAATTCAATTTATATTATAGATTTATATTTGCAATATAAATGCTTCGATTTGTGTTATAAATAAACATTTTAGAAAATTGATAAAAATATAGATAGAATTATAAAAAATATAAATTTTTAAATATTCTGAAGTATTAACGTAAGTTACTGTTTTATTTGTGTATATCGATGTGTTTTACCTCTCTTCTTCAAGGAATCTACTCTGATTTTAATAATAAATGTACGATGACAGTAAATAAATTATTATTATTGCTCGAAATGGACAATTTTTAAGATTTTAAACTTTTGTCTACTATGATAAAATAATATTATTATTCGAGTAGACAAGAAAGTAGGTAAATTATTTCTATACCTAACTAAAGGTTTTGCGCACTATATAAAATAATTTGTTTGGTTCAATTAAATTATTATTTAGTTTTTTTATTAATTGAAAACTACTTCATAAGGATATCAAAGTTTCTTACCGTATGGGGTTTCTTTCATTATCATTTTCTTCTCCAAATCACTCATGGCTTTTTTAGCATCTTCGGGTGACAAGGTTTGCGCCCCAGAGTCGATAGGAGAAGAAGAATATATTTCTATTTTTAATGAACAGTCAATTCCTGTCCAACCGCTATCACAGAAACATTGATCTATGTTTGAGCAAATCTGTGAAAATAATAAATTATTATTTGTAATATTCCAATTTAGGATAAGTATTAAAATGTATTTTTTAATATATATACTTACTCCATGTGAGGAGCATTCTAAATTGTTGTGGTTGCTGGGACATTTACCAATTTCTACAAATAGACGTGTGCATGTTTGATTGATACAAATCTGAAAATTGTAATTTTAATCTATAATTGTTTATTGTGATACCAAATTGATGATTTATTTTTTTACTCGGAATAAAATTTTTTATTTTAGTAACCTGTATAATCTAAAATACTCCTATACAGTCATAGTTGATAAGCATTGCAAATTTAAATAACTTTGTTACTCTAAGTTAGAAATATAATTTCTAAAAAAAAAATTATATTTTGTGTTTTTCGGACATCAATATTAAATTTAATAATTAACTATAAAGTTATAAGGATCTATGACATAAATATTATAAACAAAAATATATATATTCATAGCACTAAATTAAAAAAGTTATATTCGAAAAGTTTGAAATTATTATAAAAACAATTATTAAAATTGTTTTAAGGTTTTATTACTTACCATATTTTCACCACATCGAGTACCATCTTGAACCAAACTGTATTTTTTAGAACCAGTTGTTGATCTGAAAAATAAATTTAAATAGGAATTTAATATTAAATATTTGATTGAAAATTTTGTTTTTTACCTATTTGAAAACTAAAATAATTAGACATTATGATAATTTATTATTTATTATTATAATTAGTCAAACATTTAAATTTTATTTATTTTGCATATTTTATTAAGAACTAAATTTTGCAAAACTCTTTTGGAGAGTCAAGACTGACAAATACTAACAGTAATTATTTTAAGTGGTAAATTTGAGCAACTTGAAATAAGGACTGAGGCATGACGTCTAGTGAAAACTAAAAATTCCAATGTCAGATATCCACACAAAACTTCTAATGAGCACTTAGATGAGCGGTTAAACTGCAATTAAAACTTAGCAGAAGTTGGGTTTACGTTTAACCCGAAAAATGTATACTTGTTTAGAATTACTACCGCATTGCGGGTACAATAGCCACACAAATTGTGATTTTACTCTACCCTGCGTTTATCTAGATTCTTAGCTATTGTAACATTAGCTGTTTTATTTATCCTCTCTAATTTTTTAATAAATTAATATGATAACCATTGCTACAAAAATATCAATAAAAACACTTACTTGCACTCGTAATTTTTGTTGTGTAAGGTAATAAAAGTTTCCGTATGACTGTGCGTGAGTCCACTTTGAGGATACCTGCTACCCTTTTGGCATTGAAGTGAACCGCACTGAACGTTTCTAAAAAATAAATTCAGGTCATGTTATGAAATAATAGATTAATTAAAAAAAAAAAAATTAATCTTGACAATTTATTATACAAACTATAATTTTTTCTATTAAGTATTATAAGGTAAAATGTAAGATTAAATTAAAGAACATTAATTAGATAAAAAAAATAAATAAATAAATTTCTTTTACATTTTTTTAATTTTAATTTTTTGGTATTCTTAATTTATTTTCTTACTTTTCATCACATTTGAGATACGTTTCAATATCCATCTCATCAGTCAAAATGCCACAATGTCCGCTCATAGTTCCTTGGGTGTTAAATTCTTCATAACACTGTTTTTCCGATGATATCCCATCTGCGAAAATAAATTAATTCATAACACATTATTTAAATGATTTAATTTGAAATCGATAGTAAGAATTAAACTATAACTATATCAAATAATTTCAGTTGAATTTCAATGGAAGATTTTCACATTATAGTTGCAGAGTGCTTCATATTTTTCCGACAGTTTTTTTGATAATTTTTTATTAAAATAATCTATTAAGCTACACTTACATGAATATATTTAAATTTTTGAAAAAGAGTAAAAACTTGTTGAAAATAAGATTAAAAATAATATGATTTTATTTAGTATCTAAGCTCATGTAAATATACAACATGCATATAAAAAGTTCTATTGAAAAATATTCTCTCAAACTTTTTCAATTTGTGATTCGAAATGAAAGTTTTTTTTCAACTATATGTAATAGAAAAAATAATATATATATATATATGTACAGCAATAATACGTGGGAATAAAATCTAGTAAATAATAATAATTAGAATTCAATTACAAGTTCTTTCCCAAAATCGTAAAATAAGAAAAGGATCCATTTGATCTATCACACTAGTTACTATTTAAAAATATTGAGCTTAGGACTTATTTGTGTACAGAATATATACAATATTAATTTCAATGGCATTATGTTATTACCCATTAAAATTATCTAAGTAATAGTTATTTTGCAAAAATAAGTTCTTTTGAAAAAATATAAGCGTTGTTAGTTAGGTTAAATATGCCATATATATGTTCATATAATTGAGTAATATAGTATCTAATGATTAAAACACAAATAATGATTTTAGTTAAAGATTAATAAGCCGTTAATTACTAAAATACGAGTCAATTATATGTTAAATTAATTTTGTTATTTTTTATTCAATCTAATGTTTTTTTATGTATGCAGTCCAAAAATTAGTTTATAAGTTATAATAAATTAAAATATTCAATTCTATAAATTTTCTTCATTAACTATTATTGTTGCAATAGGAATAAAAATTTTAATTATGAGAACATGCAGGTAATATTGAGTAATACTTGAAAAATGTTAAAATTTTCTTGATGGAATTTTTTATTTAACAGAGCGTCTCATTAACGTTGAAAAAAATCACTCTGATATGAGTTAAAAATTAACCTCAAGCTTTTTCAAGCATGATACTCTGACATGTGTTATAAATTAGAAGATAAATCAAGAAATGTTGTTGCCTAATAGTACTTTTTAATAATAAAAAGTTTATAGTAATAACTCTGCCCCAAAAATTTTTTTTTGAAACACGTGTTTGTAAAATTTTATATTTATAAGTATTGCAATTAAAATAAAATTTGATAAGTATTAATAGGAAGTATTTTAATTGAACGCATTAAAATCATTAACGGTAGAGATATAACTTTTATCGATTTAGTTAGAATAAGATAATTGTTTGATAATATAGCAAGTTTGAAGCTTTTACCCAGTGAGATTCATAAAGCCTGGAAGGATGTATTCCCAAAATTTTTATAAAACAATTATAGATTTTGTAGGAAAAAAAAATAAAGCATGATAATAGACAAAATCACTTTAAACCTCTCTTACATTAAATTTTGGAAACGTGCCCGGCGATGACAACGAGAAAAGTATTTATTAGATTAAAACGTAAGTATTTACTGATTGTTATTTTAGAAATAAGATACTATTTGTGTTTCCATATAGTAACTCAAAACAAAACTTAAATACAATATTAAGTTGATAATTGGATTTAAGTTTTTTTAAGGCTCATTAAGTAAGAGCAAATAAAACTTTTTTTTGTTGTTGTTGTATCCAAAGCAAGTAATTTCACTTATCTATTGTATTTGCACTGTCATGCTGCGTGTACATGAAAATTGGTATGCTGGCACGCAAACTACTATTAATTTACTTTTCGCACATAATCGCTTCACTTCACTTATTGTTATATGATTTATGTGCACATGGTGTAAGATTTATGTGTTTAGAAACGATACCTGGTCGTTGAAAGTAGTTACAGAAAATCGGATACAAAGTAAAGAGGCGTTTTACTGATTTATCATAGAAATTGTTTAAACTCGCATGTTATCAATAGAATAATCAATATGTGTAACAATAATAATATGTGCATTGGAAAGTTGCGTGGAATCGAAATGCAGTTGATTTTGGGTTCTCTGAAAAGTTTCGGACTCTGCGATTAGGGTTGTTACATTGTGGTGCCGGAAAACAGCGGTTATACTAATGATGCCGTTGTTTACAGAAAGAAGGGGAGACAGACAGACTGAGGAGGGCATAGGCTGACGACGAATACTTGATTAAATAATTCAACGGGCTGCGTGTCGCTACTCACCGTATCCCCAGATTTGTTCGCACTGCTCGTTCAGTGTGGGGCATTGGCCCATATAACAATAAGCTGCGTGGTTCTTGCCACAAGGTTTGCCGTTCTTCACAAACATGTCATCCGGACATTCTCCACTATTGCCAGAGCAGTACTCGGGTAAGTCGCATACACTGATGGCTTCTCTGCACAAGGTGCCGTTGGACATTAGCTACATAAAATATATAAAATAATTATTTTGAAATTCTAAATGAAATTTAAAGGATTCAGTATTAAAATTCATATTCACGCGCTTAACTATTGTCGTAAAAAACCGGATGTATTTTTTTTTCTTTTTGAAATGTTACATAAAATTAAAATTAACTTTTATGTTAAATGTTTTTCATGAAAAATATAGTTTTATTACTTACACTACATAAATCTTAGATAGAACAAATTTTCCGTTGTGTGCCTTTAAAAAGTTTAAAATATTCACTATAACACTATAAACTCGAGTTTTCATTTGAACTCATTATGTTTAATTAAAAATGCTGATTTAATTTTGGTTAAATAAAAGGTAAATACATTTTTAGCATAAATAATCTCAGGTTTCTGTTGTATGTCAAATAATAAAAAACAATAATTGGATATTTATGAGTGTATTTTAAATAACAATATATTTGGAACGGTTTAATTAAATCGTCGACCCTTTTTTTTATGACACGCCCGTAACATTACACTCGACGTGCTCATTAATTTCAACGTTACATAGTTATTAAAAGGGATTCAGAAAACCTTTTCATTCACACATTTTTGACAATAAATGCATACCTTAATTTGGTAGTCAAGTCAATTAAAATATAAAATAATAATAAAATTACTCGGAGTCTGGGAAAATTGTTTGATAAATACAAAATTGATTTTACACAACAAAATTTAACGAAGTGCATTTTATATAAAAAAAAAGCTATTGATTGTTTTATCATATAAACATTTTAATATTTAATTTTAAATTACCGAGTAGATGAATTATCTTCATATATATCATTACACAGTTTTAATTTTGGTAAACGAGTAATACTTTACAACACTGTTATTTTCCAAGGACTGTAGATTAAAAAGCGAAAATAAATCAAACAAATGGTTGTGTACATTGAGTATTATTTCAATCAATAGTTTAAAATGTATAAACAATATTTGTTAAATCGTTATTTCCAAAAGAGTTCTTGGAGATTGAACTAAGGCGTCGATAAGTGCCTTTATCGTGACGTTATTTTGGAGGTGAATTTGATTTGAATTGCGGCGAAAAAAGTTATAATTTTTTAATCGGTTATGCTTGGGATGGCTTTATTACAGAGCAACTTTGTATTTACTTTGCATTCTTTGTTACAGCAGCTACCAGACTCCGAACATTCGGCTTCTTTGTAAAGTTTGCACGTAGTCGGATCGCAACATCGATCGGTCTCCCTGCAGTTATCATAACTACCACAATCGCATTCTTCGTCCTCGTCTACTATATTGTTCCCACATTTGTGTTGCGAATTTGCGATCTGTGGACATAGAAAATAGAATGTAAGGCGTATAGCTAATCGACTTGTTGCTTGTTCAATACTATAAGAATCGTTAGCAGTGGTAGTACTCACCTCGTTGGGTTTATTGAGCAAGCACATATTTCTCGTTTCTCGGAATTCATTTATATAATCGTTTAGGCTGCAGTCGCTGAACTTGTAGGGCTGAATGTTCTCCATGCCCACAATGGATTGTTGCATAATACATCCGTGCCAGTCTACGCAATTACACTCTTCTCCTGAAATAAATTTATTGATAACATTCAATAAGTGTTTTCCTAAGTAATAAAATGTTTCCATACTTTAAAATAAGTACTCTTAGAAATAACTATTTATACAACAAGGACATGTTATCAAATCACATTTTCCTTGTTGAGAAAATAAAAACTACAAAGCACATTTTCGTCACATCAGACGAGTTATTTTTATAGAATAAAATTTAAGTATTATATCACTAGGATATTTAATTAAATTTAATAAAATCTTCAAAATAACATTTTTTAACTTAAGTATAATAAAAGTAGAAATCAGTAAATGTTAAATGAAGCAGTAATGTGTGAGTAAAATGCACCGATGGTTACATTATATAGAAATAATTAAAATACTTAGATATTTCCATCCGAATTCAGATAGTTGGAGTATCAAAGACTGTAGAAAAAGTCGAGATGACAATTTTAAAAAGAGCCAACCTTGGTAACGAGAAAAAAAAAGTTAACTTTTTTGGAGGTCATATTTAAAAAGTGCTTATGTGGTTAATTGTAAAAACATTCTAAATGGTAATCTGTCATTTTAGTAATGTTTTTAAAAAGTCATAAAACACTGGACAAAAACGGCTGATAATTATTATTTTTTTTTTACTTGCGACAGAATAACACATCGTTTTATTTTTTAAAGGTGGTTTAATAAGATAGAATGCAGCATTTTTCAATTATTTTTAAAAGTTTTTTTGTTTTGTAAATATTACAAATTAATAGATGTGTTATTAATATTCAGCAGTTGGTATTTTAGCTGAAATCCATTAAAATTATCGACATTTTTGTTTTTAATTATAAAGTATAAATAATAATTAAAATATAAAATTAGTATTTAATTGTAAGTGGAGCTATATTTTTCAATGGTAATTTTAGATCATATTTATTTAAGCAACAACCAAGCCAAAAGATAGTAGCTTAATTGACATGCATGAGACTAAAATAATACTCAGTTCGAGATTTTATTTGCAAAAGAGATTGTGTTTGCGTTGTTTATTTTGAAGCTTTATCATCTCTAGGTAACCACATATCACATACAAATGATATAGTATCTTGTGAATTGTAATTTTTTTAAGCAGGCTTATTCTTTTTACACATATTTTTGTATAATATTTTGTCTCTGTAAAATGAAATGAAACAAGCATGGCTGAAATAATATATTGTATTAAACTGTGCAGTCTAATGGAAATTATTAAAAGAAAACATCTACTATAAAATCTCTAAGAAAAAATTATATTATAAAATAAAAGTTATCAATGAATATTGTTCTTAATTTATAGAACATTTCCAAAGAAAATAATTGTGAAAATATAATAATAGTTTGTGTAAGGTAGAAGGTATATGATACAATAAGACTATAATCTAAATTGTCAGACATTTAATTTTTGACGTTATAAATGTTTTTAAATTATTAAACTGATTAATATAAATTATTATTAAAACATTTTATAAAAGTGAATTTAATTAATTTCCACGAGAGAGTTTCTAAACAAATGAAATACATGATTATCAGCATATTATAAGAATATTTGTGTTGGATGGTAGTAATTTAATTTCAAAGGTTTAGGGATTCGTTTATTTTAAAATTTATTATAACTTAGTTTTAACTTTGCCATTAAATGAACTGTTTTCTAAACTGATCACTACTGGCGTTGTTTAGTGTATTGTGCTCATTGAGCTTTATAATTATGTTACTTATCAGAATTATTACAAAGCTGGTTTTAAATCCAGTGATAAGGTCAAAAAAAAAAAAAACTCCCATGGTGACATTATTGTATTTCCTACTTAAGCTGCTGCATATAATTTTTAAATAAACCAATGTCTTTTGTCGCATTATATTGTATTAACATTTTTTAAAAAATTTGAGGTATTAGATATTTTGTAATAAATGTCTCATATAGTCTTACTTTTATCATCGTGGCCCATTCCAACGTTATGACCGATCATATGAGCCATCGAACCGGCAATGATGTGCGGCTCATAAGCGTTGACATCGACACTGATTCCAACAGATTTGGAAGTGCAAACCGTTCCATGAATGGCCATTCCAGTTTCGCCGCCGACAAAATATTCACCCCTGAAAATGACAAATTTCGAGTGATAGTCTTAACTAAAAAATTCAAATAAATATACAATGGCTTAAAACGTGCAAAGCTTAATATTTTAATTGCGGATATCGGGATGGAATATTAAGACAGAGGGATTGAAAACGAAGTAGATGGAAAAGAAGAAAAGAAACAAAATATTTTAATATACTCTATGAACACAAAGTGCACATTTGCAGCAGTAGGTAATAGGGCAACACGCTTTCATGATGGATGAGTTTCGTAGCCGAGTGAGGGAGTGAGTGGCATGGGTAGTAAGATTGTTAATACAATGGTCGTTGTCACACGTTTGATTGATGGGAAAAACGAAAGAGTTTCCGTAGAAAGCTGCAACCAACAAATAAAAAACTTAAGAAGGCCGATGGCCTCCGTAGAGATTGCATCTGTCAATTTTAGAAAGGGAGATTTTTTTAAATGCTCTTGTAAGTATACAAAAGTAATGATATGCATTTTTCAAACCATGTTTAACCTGAAATTAAATACAACAACAGTACTATATCACTTACGAAAGTAGTTGAGCCGTGTCTTTGGCTACATTGAACAGCTCGCGTGATGAATATTCGTTGAAATTGAGCAATGCGGCGCTGATCTCTTGGTTTTTGTCGATTGGAGCCTGATTGGCTCCTTGCCATGTCTCGATGTAAACCACAGACACTCGAGTGTTTATTGTTCGAAAATACTAATTATGAATTGATAAAAATAAAAAAATAAATTTTAAATTATATATATACAAAAAAAAAAATCGTTTAGATGACTGTGACATATTTACGGGGAAAGTGTCTAGAGGAAGTATCACCCCGGGTGGCATTAGATTTTTACATAAAAATGTCTGAATTTTTTCAGTATTGTTTTTTTTTATCAAATTAACTTTTAAATTCGATTGTCACAAAAAATGTTATATTTTTTGATGATAAAATTTTTTGCAAAAATTTAAAAACTATTAAAATAACAAATTTACCGTGAATGATAAGATTAAGTTAATTTTAGTATGTAATCATAAATTTTACTTACTAAATCGGCAATGTTAGCTATTTGAATGGCATCGGTAATCACTTCCGATCTAGTGCTGCCATTTCTCATTTCAAACTAGACATAAAGCAGAATTTTGTTGTTGTTTTGTTTTTTTGAGATTTGTGTTTAAAAAAGAACACAAACACTTACCATAGCTTTGTCTAAAATAAGAGCGGTCTCTATGTATTTAGTCCTCTCTCTGAGATCTCGTTTTAGCCGTCTTTTTTTTCGAAACCTCCCGCCCACAAATCCGCTGGCGTACTTGCTCTTCCGGTCGAGCCTCAGCTCATTGGCACACCCACGTTTTGCCTTGTCCCTGGCCTCAAATATCACATGAGGGTGTTTCTGCTAACCACAATAAGTGATTATAATAATAATAATAATAATAATAATAATAAACTACATTATAATTCTTCAATATTGCATATTTCCACTAATATTAACAGTGAGAATAATGTTAAATAATCAACGCTAGGCGAAGGAAATTAGGTCGTTATGAATCATGTCTTTGAATGAAATAGTAATCCTTTCAATTGAAAATTACGTTAATTATCATTTTTTAGAATCGTAAGACAATTTATATACTTAATATTTTAAGTATTTTTAAGAGATTATTGTGCTGTAGAGCACAACAATTTCATTGGATTTGTAATTTTTTTTAACTAGGTCGAATTCAAACGTTATAACATTTTAGTTACTAAGATTAGACATGTCAAAAATTTCTTCTGCAGTTTATGTTATTATTTCTTCCATTAAGAACATAAAACGATTTTACCACAAGCAATTTCGATTTCATAGGAAAAATATCACATTTAATGTGTTATTTTAACCTCTTATAGCATTCCTATCAAATAATTCAAAGAAAAACAGAAATATATGTTTGATGATTTTATAAAATGATATCCTGTGGGAGCTTTGCGGTACAGACTCAATAAATTTGACTCAAAAAATCAGTTTTAGTATGTAATTTATTTTATTTCATGTAAACTAAGGAAAATTAACTTCATAATACGTTCACTTTGACATTATGATATATAGGGTGTTCAGTAAGTAAGGAAACGTGTTTCTATTGTTCACATTGTTTATAACAATTGGCCTATCTCTTTACTTACTGAAAACTCTGCATAGTTTTTAGTATTTATACATTTTTATTGACCAAAAAAATAACTTAATATATTTTTTCGAATTAAATTAAGTAAAAAAAAAATATATATTTAGATTAATAAATACTTATCATTATAATTAACTGTAAGATTTTAAATAGGTATAGTATCAAACAACTCTATAGTTAACTGGTGAGACAATTATGTACACTGCGTAAGTTGTACTATCAGCACGGTCATTTATTTGTTAAACATATATATATATATATATATATATATATATATATATAACACAAATGTCGACCGAGTAATGTTTTTTTCCCACGGGAAATGTCAGTATGGATATGATTAATGACGTTTGTAAGTATACAATGGATAGCAAGATTTCCTTCGGGACAAAAAATAAGATAGCAGTGGTGCTCTTATTTAAAAGCAAAATGTTCAGGGTTTCCCTTGTTTACAGCCATCACCTTTATGTCACAGTGAAGTGTTATATGTATTTTATAAACGGTTAAAAAAGAAAAGGATTCATTGTATCGTATTTTTAAGAACGACTCTTGGCATTAAAATATTTTTGTAAAAACATTATTGTTATGTTGACATAAATACATTAAATAAAAAATATATATACATTTGACTTTTAGATATTTTAACTATAAATTACAATTTATTATTAACTTTCAGTATGTATTTTACTTTATTTATTCAATATTATTTAACACTAAACGGCAGTTTATAAATTTTCTTGAAGTAATGCCTAACGGCAGTTCCAGGGTGACCCACAATAATCTCGTTTTGTAGAGAGAGAAAAAAAGTCAGTTTATAAGTGCTTTATATATAATACAATACAAAATATCATTATTTATAATATGACATGTAATAGAAAGAAAAAGTTAACAAGTATTGATGAATAACAATGAAAATTATGTAAAGCATATGTTAACTAAGCAGGTGCCAGTATGTAGGATTAAATTCTACTAAGGTTTTAATATCTTTAATATGTTATAAAAAACTTTTAGATGCTTCATTTGTTTATGTTTGTTTGATGTAATCATAATATTTGTGTTTTATGCGTCAATAAGAACAAAGAGAGGACGGAATAAATATTTCGATGAAAATAATATGAGAACAATTGTGGAAGATTTTTTTGCGAGTGTTCTAACTTGAAAATAAGTAATGTTAAATAGCTAAGACGATAACGTTAATATTTGTTTGAAGTATTGTCAAATTAAATATTAAGTGTTGATATAACATAAACCTTATCTGGACTTAATTGTGCATAGCTTAAACGCATTTAATAATAATTCAACAACATCAATGCTACTTATTTAATTATGCAGTGATACGAATGCGATTTATTATAGTTTAGTATTACACTAAACTAAAATGAATGTGATTCATAATAGATGTCTAATATACATTGTCTATGTTAAGTGTCGCTATTAAACTGTCACATTTTATTACAACATAGATATTCATTCTACAGACACGCATGCTACTAAATTGCCTATATCTCGCCCCGTGTAAGAAAATGATAATTTGAATATTACAATTATTCAGTATCATCGACCTAATTATTAGGTTCGATACTTCATTTAATAATATCTAACGATGCGAAATTATGTTTTTAAAGATTACTTTGTGATGGTATTTTGAATATTAGATGTATTTTAATGCTTTCTGGATATAACTTCAAAAGTTATGTGTGCACCATACAATTAATAATCATTACTCATAAAATTACTTGATAAATTAAAGGCGAATAATAACAATTATAATTAATGATTATAATTATTACCATGACTTATGGCAAAATACAAGATATAACACGCGTATTGACGTGATTGATTTTAGTGAAAATGAAAGTTATACTATAAATGATATTATTAGTTTGAAAAACTAGTGATGAGTGTAAAATTAGTTTTGTCATACTGACCGACAAGTCTCCGCCATAAAATGGATGTATAATGAATGTTTCATTGCCTATGTGTATGACACCGGCAACGCCATTACACGTGTGAAACGCAGCAGTGGCTCCAGGCATGTCCTTCACGGTACCGTGGTAATAGCAATGTTCAATTTCCTAGAAAGAATATATAGTGCGTTATTAAACATCTTCGTGTCTTTTACCTATCGAAAATTGCTTTGATCTTCATAAAAAGCGGATTTAAAAATATCCTCGTGAGGTTAAATACATGCACGTTTAATTTTCAAAACTATATTCCAATTGTAATTATATTACTCGGGTATAATTGCGTAAGAAATAATTTAACAAGTTCCTATTTTCCAATACTTTTACTTGAAATAATCAATTAAAAAAATATTACAAGTAATTGTTTTCGATATAATATGAGTATTTTATGAACTGTTAAATTTATTAGTTATTGGTATCAGGTTCGAGATGTTTTCGGGGAAAATAAAAATGATATTCGTATAAATGTTTTATTTCAAATTAATTGAGAAAGTATAAATTTAATTAAGAAATTTTATCAATATTATTAACAAAAAGTAAAGGTATATTAAAGATACATATTTTTTACATTTTTATAGTTATTGCAATAAGTAAAAATATTTTTATAAAAATATAACCAATAAAAGAAAAAAAATCATAAGTTTACAGAACCATTTAAAAATGTTTATAAGAAAATTGTATATTTGATTTTCAACGAACTCGATAAAAAAGATTTATTATTTATAAACTTAACATTATCCGAATTAACAAATACAATTTTATTTTGGACTTATTCTATTATATCACAGTAGTGTACAAGTACAAACACTCACTTGTTTGGAAACCTGTTCAGCTCCATGAGGTAAAAAATGTTTCTGTACTAAATTCGGTGCTAATAATTCTCTGAAAACAAAAAATAAATTAATTTTAATAAAAGACGTTTAAAACTTTAAATAATAAAGGTTGACTAATTGGCATAATAAATATCATTTAACACTTATTAAAGCCAAATTTTCCCTTAATCCTTGAAAATTTATCTAGTAAAAAATTGCATTTATCCTAAACAGAAACTAAATATAATCGTACAATTACAGTTATTTTAATACTACATGATGTTATTTTAAATACATTTTAAGTTAAGATGCAATTCAAAACGTTTTTAGTGTGTATTTTTTTTTTTTTTTTTGCATTTATTCACAGATTTTCAGTAAATCACATACAATACACTATAAAGATTCAATAGAGGCACTATTAATACATTAAAGGCCGATCGAATTGGGCGTATATGAGGTAGTTCCTAGCGGTTACCAATGGATATCGTTGGCGCAGACGAATGCGAAATAGAAATAAAGAGAAGGAAAGCAAATAAATAAATAATACGATCCGTCATTAGAATGCATTAAGGATTGCAGACTGACGGGTGGGGAAGGTAGAGGTAGACAAACGAATCTTGGGATGCCATGTCAAATTACTGTTCATCGCGGTCTACAAATAATAGGATTTATTCGTTAGATCTTGACGGATAGCATGCATTTTATAAGCTTCTTCCAGCGTCGAATCACTGCTGGCTTAAGGAAATGTCTTTTCAACGAATCATTGAAACAACATATACCACTCGACGATTCTGGTTTCAATGGGACAACAAGATTTTATCGACAATAAGTGAGATGAAAGCACTTATAGTCGGTACTTGAAGTAAAAAAGAAACCCATACGAAAAAATACAATTATGTAGTGAAAAAACAATTTCTTAATTCACATTTCCTAACGTTTTATTACTTGTTTAGCGTCTTGTGAAAACAATAACAAATAGCTCAAATACACTATTATTGTGAAATAATGTTGATATGTCTTTATGAAATTTTAGTAGTAAAAAAATATCAAAAAAAACTTTCGTTTAATATTACAATAAATACAGAGCTCTTTATTGACATTAAAAAAAAAAAACAACAAAAATACTTGATATAAAATTATTTAAATTTAATTTTAATTCAAATGTTTATATAAATATACAGAGTGGTTCATTAATCATAAATCTTTTAATTGATCAAAAAATAGAAATATTTTTCTTAAAAAATTAAAAATTTTCTTTTTTGGCTTATTTTAAAAACTTGTTCTTTTTTTTAATTTATCAATAATGAAGAATTTGGTATGTTTTTCTTTTATACTTTATAAGTACTTAATAACATTATTTTTTTCAAATGTCAATTTATATTATTAACTAGTTTATTTAGTAGATTCCACCTATTTAAAAAAATAATTGATGGATAAAAACTTTTGAATGAGTATTTCAGAAGTTATAAATATTTTATATTGGAGGTTGAAAATGCATGGATGTTGTTGTGTCTATCAATAGTCATATTTCGGTACATTTTCTTCTCTAAATACTAGTTCAAAAGATCTTGCAGACCAGCTATTTTCTTAATTAGATCATTATCTATAAAATAAACTAGTTAATGATATATGATATCATAATTAATAAATCGAGAAAAATATTTACCAAATTGACACAAAAAAAAAAATGTTTCAATATTATTTTTATTTTTAATTAATTAAATGTTTCTTGATAAATAAACCATTCCGCATATTTGCATATATGACATGTTTCTATACATATGTATTTAATTATAAGTTCTACCTATTAATAACTATAAGTGATATCAAACTCTAAGAGATTACACGAAGCAATCCCACTTTATGAGTTGCTGAACACATTTGGGTAAATACGGTAATGTTAAGTTTGACTTGTGCATAATAAGCTGAACAATATTATGAACAAGAACAAACAAGCAGAACTTCAAGAGCTCTGGTTTTATATATAATATCTGTATTGTCGGTGACAAAATCCGGGTCAAATTAATTCTATTCGGAACTGTACAAGTATTTGCATTCGAGTGTTGTTTATGAATATATCGTATATTTGGGGCATTCAAAGGCGATTTGTGTGTAAATTATGTATTTGAGAACAACTGCGGCGAATCAGTGGCAAAAAACACACACAATAAATAAAATGCTGCCGAAAGAATAAATAAAAAATTTCATTGCTTTTCATGCGCAATAAATTTGATCAAATTTAAATCGAATTGGGTTCAGTCGGGTTAAACACTTTGTATGCGCCCACGAAAAACGGTTTTTCTTTGAAAAAACTTCCCGGGAGACGGATTTTTGCGTGTGTATGTCTGTCAGAAATTGTACACCTATTTCTATTATACATGACATGACAACGTAGGTGGTGATAGTCTGACGGAAAGGATGACAAAGCCATTATTATGTTTTACATGCCAAAGCGCTGAATGGCGACGAAAGAGGTAGCTCGGCAGCAGGAAAATTCGCGTTCGGTAATGCTATTCTCTCGTCAGTGGTTAGAAACGACAATTCTAGTGCGATGATTGATTACACCTTCAGTCCGAGACTCCCCTTGTCGCACTGAACCCATAAGAATAATGAAGGAAAGCCGCGTATTTTCAACCCGGAGTCGTTACCACTTATACCCATTACTGCGGTAAAAAGAAAGTAAAAAGAGATGTATGGATACACGTCCGCAATGCTATAGTAGTTGTAAGAGCAGTTATTCATATGACATTAATTCCTGTGATATATATTCAATAAGAATACATTTGGCATTCCTCGCTCAACTCAATGTGCATAATGTCACCGATTGGTGCAATTAATGGATTATTTTTCCATTATTGTACAATTTTCCTCTTAGTATTAAAATCCGATTAGAAATTCTTGACGTGTTCTCTTTTTAGTGTACGAACGTGATATCATAATAATAACGCAAGTGAATAATTCATCTATGATTTAAAAAAAGGACATCGAGAATTTTGAAATGAGTGGATACTTACTTTTGATGTAGTTATTATACTCTAATAAAGAATTATTAATTATAAAGATCATTGTGAATATAATAATAAGCAAAAAACAATAAATATATTATAAATATTGAAATATACAGGTGTTTTTTTTTATCATGACCCACTCAATTACTTATAGAATAAAAATAATTTAGACATTTTTTTTTTTGGTTACCTTTAGTTGCATATTATTCTTGAATTATTAGCTATGTAATACTTTTTATGTTCATTCCTAATGACTTATAATAGTGTATTACTAGTTGGTGTACTTATAAACTCACAACAATGTTTTTTACTACCATACTTGCTATCTGTGATAGCGACGTCATAAAAATCAATTAGTTACCAATATTTGTAATCCTACATATATAATAAATGTATATTAACTCAAATATTTGAAACTCTAAAGATTTATATTTAATAAATTAATAAAGTTATATTAAAAACTCAAATGGCATTTACTATTAATATTAAATGACAAACATTTTATTAAATTCAAAATATGTATTCCCATTTGAAAAAAACAAAGTTGACACCCTTACCAAGGCACAAGAGATGCACCTATAAAGTAGTACAAAACTAACAATTGATCTAATTAACCATTAACTAAAGGTTACCAATAAAAAAAAACTATTTTTAATGATTTATTAATGATTAAATCGATAAATGATAAAAACACTTTTTCTTATTACGACTTTGTTGACAATAAAAATAGTAATCTATTGTATAAAGTCAAAAATTTTTAGGCACTACTTTAATATTTAAAATAAATGAATAAGCAAATTTTATCATGTAAACTTTTTATGATACCCAATGTACAATTACTTATTTTTAGTACTCCATTGAACTTCATTCAGTGTTACTCAAAGTTGAACATTTTTCATACCGAATGACTTTTAACTGTGTTCATCTAACAAGGGTTTTCATTTCTTCTAAACACCCTATTAATCTTTCCATCTAAACTTCATTTCCTACTTCCATTTACTTTTAATAGCCTGATTCTATTACCTTTTTTTGGTCTTCCTTTTTATTGTTTGCCTGTAAATTTCCATTAACTCAAATGGGATACTATTGTCTATGTCAAATAGTTGCACTTTAAACAGAAATTGCTTTTCAACTGTCTTTACGTCATTTAATATGTTTAATGTATTTTTTATTATATCATAATATGGTCAATGAAAAGAATATTTCACGTTAAAACAATTTTAATTGTTAAAAATACGATTTTATAGGTAAGTGTTACATAATAATGTATAAGTAGTTTTTTTTTTATTTTCAAGGCACATAATTGAATTTTTCCATCATCAATTCTAATTTCGTTTATAATATAATATCTTGAAAGATAAATTATGTCGCTAAAAAAGTATACATTATCGTTTTATGTGCACACCAGCGCAAACATTCCGAACGACGTATAAAAAAAATTAGACATGATACATTACTAAATTGCTCCAAACTTACTGAATTCAGTAATTTATTTTGATCAATAGTAAATTACTGTGTGTGAATTATATTAAACCTTTTTAGTTTTTGGAAATTTAAATTAAGTTATCAAGTCTTTTCCTATTATGTATATCTTAATTTTTAAATTGTTATTTATTTTCAAAAAGGAACATACATATACAAACACTTTTGATCAAAATTTAATAAAATAAAAATGCACAATGAATGTTTTTAATTTCATTTTTAAAGTTCCATGTTTATAAATAATCCAAGATTAAGTTTACCAAAATTATTTTTGTTTACATAGTTCTGAAGATTGAAAGGTACATAAGTTATGTTAAATTTGAATTTCAACTAGGATTTAAAGTAATGTGCACTTTTTAACTTAACGATTTATTAAAAATAAATTGTGTACAGGATATACTATTACTCAAGTATTAATTATTCTCTGTGTTATTAAAACCAAAGTATTGTTAAATAAATATTTGAATGCATATATTGAAGTACAGTTAAAATAGAAATGCACATCAATTACAATTTATTTATATAAATAACTTTATAAAATTCAACTTAAATTGAGTATCGATTTAAGCATACCTATTGATATAACAAACTAACTTGGTACACTTTCATTGCGTACAAATAATTTATCAAGCGTAAGATAGTAAAAGGTCTAAAGAAATTTTATATTATATTCAAGTAAAGCAGAATTATTTTGACAATATTTCAAATTAAGGGGAAGGAATAAGTAGTGTTTAAAGGTAGATTTAAGGTAGTTTTCAAATCTAATTATACCGATAGTATCATTGAAATTGTCTGTCAAGATAAAACAACGTTTATGAGATATTTATAATTGAAATAAAGAAGGCCAGTTGATTATTAACTCAATTAATATAAAAATTAAATTCTTAAATTCACCAAGTTGATAAAATTATCCACAGTATATCCTCAATAGTAATAAAGCATTGTATTATTGTGATAAAAAGAATAAAAGATAGAAATCGAAATGAATCGTGAAAGAATTATATAATCAGTCTTTATGGCGCCTATGGTTTATAGTGCTGCAAGGTGAATTTTTCTTTCTGTCTCTTTTAGCTAAATGCGATAAACACGTTATTTCTTTTTTTATATTCACATTTCCGAATTTCGTTTCGAATACATAAATAATCATTTGAAAAAGGCTATATATAACCCTCATTTAAATGTTAAAATAATAGCAGTGATGGTTGTAAAGAAAACGGGATAGGTAAAGAAGAAAGAATAAAAAATATGGTAATTATAAAGTGGTGCATAAATTTCGACGTTTAGCATTTTGAAGATTGTGTTATTTCTTCAGGCCTAGGTAAAATGATTTGATCGTTATCGGTGTTTGCTGTGTTTTTAATTTGGCCTCGTTCTCATTTGTAACACTACAGTTTCAATGAATGCAGACAATGTCCTGGGTAGAATTATGCACTTTGGTATACATGTTTTAAGTTCCGGTAGGAGTGCCGGAAAGGAGGAAAAAAAAAAGGAGAAAATGGCGCATACCTATATATTTATTTCTTTTTTCTACCCTCGTTGGCGGAACTGCTTTTAAGAAATTGTACACGCTAAAACTATTGTCCCAGTGCCGAATGATCAACGCACGTTCTTTGAACAGTTAAACAACTAATGGCGACCCTTTTGTTAGCGTTAATTCAAAAAAAAAAAAAAAAATTGGGCTAAAACGTCTAACCATAAAGAGAAGTGTAATAACTAAAGTATAACTTCCAAGGGTTGACTTTATCTAAATGCATTGTTTTAAGACAATATAATCTTAAACGACCTCATCAACTTACAACTTAATATAAAAATTGTATCAAATAGTATAATTATAACACATTACGAAAAACACACAATTTTTAGTCAAAAGATATTTTCAGTTTAAAATCAAATATTTGGGTTTTCATTGAAATTAATATTGCAGTAAATTCAAAAAGTTGGGTGCGGTCGATAAGGCATCATGCTGAGTAGGTAAATTATAATTAAAAAAAAAAAAACAGATTTTAAAAGGCATGATTACATAGCATCCAGGACCTAGGAGCGCTTGTAATGCTTGTATCTTAATATAGAAGCTCTGATGTAGGCTTAATGTTAGCTGCTGACGGGTTTTTATGTATAAAAATCGCCTGCAAGATCTTAGACGGGTTTAATTTGGTAATCGTCGGGCTTTTGTTAATAGAACCTTTAAATCCCTTAATGAACAAAGATAATGATGATGTGACGTATATATACTTACGTGTTGAGCTCCAGGTCGAGGCGAAATTTATGGTTAAATGCTTTTATTAATATAGAAGTTTTGTGAAAATGTTTCCCCATCTGCAAAATAAAATGTAAATGTTACAAATTTGACGAACAATTTATTTATATTTTCTAATAATGTACATTATTTATATTTTAGTACTAATAAAAATAATAACACCAATAACGGAATTATAATTGCAGAAATATTTATATTTCATTAATAACTTATACATATAATAATTTCGTTAAATTATATTTTAGCTCAGGAAAAAAAAATGTAAATCAATAACTTCCGGCAGTTTTTGAAATAACTAGCAAATGAATTTAAAAACAGTGACCGTGTATTTGTATAAAATACTACGTGTACAAAGAGAGCAAAAGTAATTCAATTGTCTCCAGAGGCTAATTGACTAGTTTTATTTTTTCGTTTTTACGTTGTGCACAGTTTATTGGATACTCTCTAAGGGTATGATACAAGGGGTAACTAAGGGTATGTAGCAAGAAATGGTACAAAATTATCTGCAAAATACAGCTTTGATCATACGACAAAGCTTAAGTGGTCTTTAACTCGACCGGTAGCCATACACTTGATCCACATATATAGTGCATAGATACTGGGTCACTGACTAAAAAATAAAAAATAAAAATAATAAAAGAAATGAGGTTGTTATTTAAACTGATTTTGTTGTTCCTTTTTTCCCTTCGTGTCACTACTCTTTGATACTTTAAATGCACAAAGGGGTTATGCTATAATATATTTGGCTTTGTCTTCGAGCTATAACAAAAGAATTCTCTGTACTTATAACAAAATCCTTGTATGCAACTCTTATAGAATATTTTAAAGTCGGCCAGTGTGACAAGAGGCGTTTTCATATATCGTCATTTCCATTTTTAAAAAAACAAAAAAAAGTAACGTGGCTTAACTAGACTTTTAGCTCATATCCTTTTTAAATAACATTAAAAAATGTTTTTAAGCATATTAATGCTTAATAAATTACAATTACATTTTAAACAAATAATTACTGATGTTGAATTTAAATACTATGCTTTGTAACTTATTAAATAATACCTAACGGTTGTTGTGGCAATACTTCTGATCATAGTGGAACACAATCAGTTAAAATCTTGAGAGGTGCTATAATTATTGATTTCAGGGTGACACTTGGAGGATTTTTCTCTCACACCACTTAAACTTGTATTACTTAGAAGAGTTAATTATTGCATACTACAATTATATTAATTTTTAAAAACATTTAAAATAATAATATCAAAATGATTCCACGATAAAACCAAACATGTCAATAAATATACAAATACAAAATCAATAAACATTGTATGTTTATTCGAAAAAACTCATTTGTTTTATCAAAAATAGCTTTTTTATAAATTTAATGTAATACAAAATAACTGGTGTTATGTACGCCCCTGGAATTCCTACACGTGAGCTGATTTTTCTGATGTTATTAATCAGGTAAACATTTTCGTTAAACTGTATAGCGTATTAAATTTTAGAATCAAAGTTCTGTTATATCGCATGCCATCCATCATTGTATAGATCTGTAAAACTACAATATATCTTCATCACTCCGTTAATATATTCAGATTGAGAACGTACCGTAGTCAAATTGTGTTGTCAAGTATAAAATTATGAAAAATATTTATAAATTTGCATTTTTTTGCAATAAATAAATAAAAAAAATTTACCAAGAGTCAAACTTTTAATTTATAAAGATTCAGGAGAAAAGGCTTTAATTTTACTTGATGTAACCGTTTGAAATCATTTTTATTTCAATTTTAAGTATTCCCTCAAAACATTAATTATAAAACCTTTACGTTTTGCATCTCGACAAAGCTATTTCATTGTTCTCTTTATTTTCAAACATTTTGTTGTAGCAGAATTTTTTTTCTGCGTAAAATTGACAATTTTGTTCATTTTAAATTCAAAATCATGTCGTCATCGCTTCAAATCCGAAAACTTTTTAGAATTAAACATTGCAAGAGTTCAGAAAAGAAGATCCAAACTTTTATGCAAAAACTAAGACTAATAAATCGCGTAAAACGGATTTATAGGTTATGCGTGAAACTTGAAAATCATCCTCTGGCCTGAAGATAAGCTAAGTAAAATATATGCGTGAACATGGAGTTAAACTTTGTGTCATGAACTAAAGTTAAAAATACATTCGTACAGGAATAAAAAAAGGTTAAAAGATAAAACAAAATAATTCAAGTAAAATAACTGCCAAGTAATGTCAATCTATTTTACTTTAAAGAATTCTTGAATATACAGAGTGTTCAGTAAGTCAGGAAACGGGTTTCTATTGTTCTCATTGTTTGTAACAATTGACCTGTTTTCTTACTTACTGAACACCCTGTATAAATATTTGATCGTAGCAATAATTTTTTTGTATATTGTTTTGTTAATTTTTTGTATAACCTTATAAATATATATATGGGCAAATCTCTAATTTTATATTATTGTAAATTTATTAGAACGAGCCAAAGAATGTGAAAATAAATAAAATAAAATACTGTTTTAATTAGATTATTGTTACAACTCATAAAATGTTAATGGATCATCATTATATAATAAGTACTAATAAAATTATTTATATGGCTGCATGAATTAGTTAGAATCGATAAATAAAAAGATATCAAGAACCATACTAAAAGTACTACATACAAATTAATTAGATCAAAAACTACTGAACATTATATATATATATGTGTGTGTGTATAACCTTTATAATCTATTTTGTCCTTATTTCTCTTCCATTTAACAATAATTTATATAAAATTGAATCAAATTAATGCATTTATTTTTAAAATGTATCGTATTCGATTCCATGTAAAATAATTTTTGCCTTTTTTCAAAAAGTTCTCTCTTAAGTATGTTTCATTATATTTATTTTAAATCATAAATTCCGCTATAACTTTTTGAGTACTCTCCTAGATACACACAATATTTAACCATAATTTCCCTTGGCATAAACAATAAATATTATTGTTTCTTCCTCTTATGCGTTTTGTATTTTTATCATACAAAGATCAATTGAGAATACTTAAAGCAGAAAAATCGTACATCAATTTCAATCCAATAAAAGGAGAAATTGAATTTAGTATAATTCTAAGAAATTGTAATATAACTTTTATAAATATATTATCATAAGACTTTTCATGATACTATTTTTTCTACTCGTATTCGGAACTAATGAATTATTTAAAAATAAAAATGGGAAATAAGGCAAGAAATAAGTTTTGTTTCTAAAAAATTTGATATTCTTATTATTTTTTGGTAAAATAAACCCAAGAATTGATCTTTAAAAAACCATCTAGTTTGTTTATTTTGAAATATTTTTTTAAATGCGTGCGGTCATAAACTTCATCAATATAAATTTCACTGGTTTATATTTTTATTTAAAAATGATTGTTTTTCGTTCGAAACTTTATGTAGAATTTCGATACCGCGTATTAAAGTGTAGGAGTTCTAGTATTCATACCTCTACAAATAATTAGACAAAAACTTTTATAATACTCGTTATTAGCGAACCTTAAAACAAAATTATGACATTAAAAAAACTGCTGGAAGAATGGCTTGAGGATAAGGATGATTTGCGTTGCTTCGGAATGGTTATGAGAAAAGTTTGAAAGTAATCACAATCACTATAATTCTTAAAAGTTTTGTGTTTTCTTCCATGTCACGAACATAAATAATTATGCGATTTCAAACAAAAGAGGCAATTGTTAGAGCAAATAATAATTAAAATTTGAAAAATCAAAAGATATATATAATTACTCTGGTCGTAAGTAAATATTATTATGCCATTCGAGCACTTTTGACTTACACACCTATACTCTAATGCAAATCGTAGCACTTGTCGCAAAAGTTCTTTATTTAACCAAAACTACTTTTATTATTTAAAGACTTCGGGTCATTTGTAATCAAGAAAATGTCACTCACCAACATGAATAACTCGTTAATGACGAATATCTTAAGCATATACTTGTACGCTTAAACTTTTCCACGACTTTTGTCATTGTTGCGTTATTCAGGTGTGTGCGAGACAGAAATGAATTTACTGGAGTAGCAGCACAAATGGTAATAATAATAAGGTAGGAGTTGAATCAGAGAAGAAAAGTTTTCCTTAATTCACAGTCGTCGTCACCAAACTATAACACATGACAGTTTTATTATGTGGAACCGACGAATTTTATTAAGATCACATAAAGGATTACTTATTACAGTTTATTACAAACCCGTCGGTATTAAATTCGCAGAATGTTTCAATCAGTATTAAATAAACAACAAAAGTATTCCTCAGAGAAAAATATAATTCTAAATATAACCATTGAGAGAAAATCAAAATTGGTTTTCCATAAAAAAGGTCACTAGAAACGTATACATATCAGTCACATATTGTAGTCTCATGGAACTTCAGATATACCGTATCTTAACTAAGTTGTTATAAACAATAAAGTGAAAAAAAAAATCGCTACTCGATTTACATCGTAAGTAATTTTTCATGATATTAAACTCCTCAGGGAACAGCAGTTTGAAAACCCCGTTTTTTTATCCGTTCTCCGCTCAATAGTTACCTATTAAATAAATAAAAACTAATGTAGCTAATGAAATTTATCATAGGGATTAAAAAAAATGATTGCTATTAGCAATATCACTTATTTTATTAGCGACGCGCTAATAACTATTAGTGCTAATTATATAATTTTAGAGAATATCTTAAGATTATTTTTGTTTTAATAATTTAAAATCAAAATATAAATAAAGGAAGGCAAATTTGTTTGAATATTTAATTAATAACGTTATAGCACATCAGAATTAGAAATTTATCAGACAGCAACTACTAGTGTCATAAAATGTTAGAGATCACTTTGTAAAAAATGATATAATTATTTGCGCTCAATAATATTTATATTGCTATGATTTTTTTTTTTTTAAATAATTATTGTAAAATTATATAAAATAAGTGATAAAATAATAACAGAATTATCATAGTTAACAAAAGTTTCGATATAGTCCAATGTATTGTTTATATATTCGGATATAATTGTAAACGATC